CCACTCCGGCGTGCCCGCCAACTTCGGTTACACTCGACTTCTTTCGACATCCCAAACACACGGACATGGAAAACTTTCATTGTGTGCAATCCCAGTGGCACAGGGAGAGGGTAAGATTTACCCACGATCTGACAACACTGGGCGTAGGCACTAATGGATGGAGAAGTGGGGCGGCGAGAGGTGGGGGTAGCTAGAGGGGCGCTTCGGTAGTTACTGGTGGTTGATCGATGCTCACGATGAGTATCGATCTAGAATCTTGATGGAGGTGGACGCGCGCGAATTTTGAATACTGCTAATTACCGTATGATCCTTTCGGATCGTACATATATTCCGAGTAAATATGTTAATACTTTATTGTAAATACGTAGATTGAAACTTAAATAGTGGCAATTATTTATTCACAACCGATACAAAAGAAGAGTTACATGTTTGCACATGTAGCTGTCCTTCAAAGTAGTCACAACCAGCGTTGTGTAGAAACCGTATTTTTTTTTATTTTCAATTTGAATTATCTTAAATTATGTTGAATGGAGTTGGGTCCCTTCGAAATTTGATAACAAATCAGATTGTTCATTTTGAAGGTGGCCTAATTCCATTCGTGGTTAGAAAACGCATATAATTGCCACTATTTTAATAGGAACTGTTAATTTAAACCCTTACGTATATTTTTAATTGCATTGAAACGCAAACTGTTTAATATGTTCATTCGAACATAAATGTAGTTAGGCCATTTTCTAAATAAACGGCTCAAATAAATAAAAATAAAATTAGATGAATGTCTCTGTTGTTAAAGTAATTTTTGTGTTGGTTAATACGTGATAAAATTTGATTCTTGCGTGTGTGTACTAGAATAAGATTCAATGCTTCCATAAATTGATCTTCTTCGAGGGTAACAATTCGATAACCATTGGACATCCTTTGCAAAACTATCGCAGCATGTACTTTTTCCTTTGATTTACGAATTTGGTTGAAATTATTTATTGAAATAATATCCGATAAATTGAAATAAGTTGTTCTTCTTCGTGAAAATAATTTAAATGCCATCGTATTTTCTATATTTTTTAACATTTTCACAATTTTTTTTTTTTTATTATTATTATTAATACTTCAATTAATTTAGGTTAATTAAAATTGAAAGATTTAATTGTATTTCGATTAATAAATCGATCTTATTCGATTATGAAATCATTTCATAATAACTTTTAATATAATATTTGATAGGAAAATCCAATAAATTCATAATTGTGTATTTTAAAAATATTTTTTCTTCAATAATGAACAAGAAAGATGACAAATTACTTGAAATGGAAGCAAGAATACATGCACCGTTAGAATGGGATTCCCCAATTTATTGTAAAATACAAGACCTGCATGAGTCGTTGTATGATGAAGCATGTCGTTTGATAAAAGTTTAGTTGATTAACAAAATAGTTAAAAAACGTTCAAATGCAATTAGTTGTTTAATTTTGAATGAAATATTTGCGTATCATTTCAGCATCATTATTTTAGCGATGAACCAATGTGCAAGGCAATATCACTTTTAAAAGATAAATTATCGGTTAATTGTTATTTAAAATTAATAAAAACGTGGATGAAAGATACGACAAGTTTGGTAGCACTGAGTGCAAATTCTGGACGAGTTGTTGGTGTTGCTGTTACAAGAATTAACAGTGATTCGGAAAAGACGAATATTTTTAGTCGTAATCAAGTATTTGTTCAGTACTTACTTTCTTTTCTTTAAAAAGGTTAATTTCATTTAAATTGAATTTGACATTTTGATGTATTTTATTATTATTATTATTATTATTATAGATAATCGAAGGAAAATCATTGAATCTAATATTGCAATTACTCAACGAAGTTACCGTTCAATCCAATGCTTATGTTCAATTTGGTCATGATACTTATTTTCGTATTTATATTCTTTGCGTTCATCCAACGTATCATAATAAAGGCATCGAATCTGCATTATTACGTGCTTTTATCCAATCAGCAAGAACTATGAAATTACCAGCAGTAGGTGGTGTTTTTACATCCGGTCATAATCAATCTTTTGCTGACAAAATCGGATTTTCTATTTTATCCGAGATACGTTATAGTCGTTGGATCGTTAATGAGATTGTAATCTTTGATGATCCCGGTAAAGGAAATTATTCAGTTGCTTTTATGGGAAAGATACTTGATTATAATGATCCAAGTGAAAGACATAAAGATGATGTTTAGTTCATCTTCATTTGATAATTCAATTAATCAATTAATATTTTAATTTTTAATAATATTATTTCCATTTATATTTTATACCCTTTTTCATGGAAAAATATTAATTAATGTACCTATCAATGCATTTATTATATCTATATATATATATATATTAGAGGGGTCAAAAAGTAATGTCGTTACTACGCAAGTCAAATTTTTCTATTAATATTTTAATCAAATAAACGATTGATGATTTTTATCGTTACTGTATTAAACATTTTTTGTATATCAGATAGAAAAAGTGGTTGTTGATAACGTGATTAAATTCATTTAATTATTGATTAATAATAAAAACTTGTTTGACAAATTTATTCGTTTGAATTTTGAGGTTAAAAAGCGACATTACTTTTTTCGGTCCACCTTAATACTATAAAATAAAGCATTAAAGCGCCATCTTTGAATCACAATTTTGACGGTTTTTGTAATTCCCATTAGAAATCGGAATATTTCGGTGTTTAAGATCGTTCTCTCCCGTCACAAAAATTAAAGATTTGTAACCGGAGAACATGATGATACAGGAGGTATCAGAATGTATTCGAGTAAGAGTAAGACGTCCTAGAGGAAAAGCACTCATTGGTTGATTACCAACCAACCAGCTCTTAGTAGACGCCCAGCCTCATAGATATTGGTTAGTTATTAAAAAATTAATTTAAAATACTTCTAGAAATAAATGTTAAACATTTATGCACTCAAAATATACTGTAAACTTGTAAAAATAATATCAATTCATAAAAGTTTAGAAAAAGTTTTCAAAAAGTACATTTTTATGTAGGATCGTAGTGACGTATAACCTAAAATGTTGGTCACATATTAAAAATTCATTTAAAATACTTTCAAACATAAATAGTAAACATTTGAAAACTTCAAATATTTTACAGACAAAAACTTTGAGATACTATTACACATTATCCGTGATTTGAGTTTTACTAAACTTTTAAGCATAAATTATTCACATTTATAGATTCAACATATTTTTTGAACTCTGAAGAAAATTTCTAACTTCATAAAAATTAAAAAAAAAAACCATCTATTTGTTAAAAAATAAATTAATTAAAATAATGAACTTTTAGCTACAATCGAAAAATAAACGACCAATCAGGTCATAGCGATGGTTACTTAATTCACATTGATTCCGCTAGGATAAAATCAACATGGCTACCTGTCAATGTACTTTGAATACAAATACGGGCTTTATACAGTGCAATATAATATTTAGTATATAAATTTTAAGTGATGCAATAAACAAGTGAGTAATATTTTTTATTAATATTAATTCGTTTCATGTTTTTGAAGTGAAAACTTCTTTAGAATGGGAGTGATCTGAAAAGTAAATAAGCGGAAACGGAGCTATGTAACAAAGCTATGAAACGGTTGCCATACTAAATAATGAGAGAAGAGTCTAATTAAACAAACACACCCTACAGACTTATCGGAAAGACCCTACGGACTTATCGGAAAGACCCTACGGAATTATCGGAAAGACCCTACGGA